ACATACATACATACATACATACATACATACATACATACACATACATACATACATACATACATACATACATACATACATACATACATACATACATACATACATACATACATACATACATACATACATACATACATACATATACATACATACATACATACATACATACATACATACATTACATACATACATACATACATACATACATACATACATACATACATACATACATACATACATACATACATACATACATACATACATACATACATACATACATACATACATACATACATACATACATACATACATACATACATACATACATACATACATACATACATACATACATACATACATACATACATACATACATACATACATACATACATACATACATTACATACATAACATACATACATACATACATACATACATACATACATACATACATTACATACATACATACATACATTCACATTACATTACATTACATTACATTACATTACATTACATTACATTACATTACATTACATTACATTACATTACATTACATTACATTACATACATACATACATACATACATACATACATACATACATACATACATACATACATACATACATACATACATACATACATACATACATACATACATACATACATACATACATACATACATACATACATACATACATACATACATACATACATACATTACATACATACATACATACATTACATACATACATTACATACATACATACATACATACATACATACATACATACATACATACATACATACACATACATACATACATACATACATACATACATACATACATTACATACATACATACATACATACATACATACATACATACATACATACATACATACATACATACATACATACATACATACATACATACATACATTACATACATACATACATACATACATACATACATACATACATACATACATACATACATACATACATACATACATACATACATACATACATACATACATACATACATACATACATACATACATACATACATACATACATACATACATACATACATACATTACACATTACATACATACATACATACATACATACATACATACATACATACATACATACATACATACATACATACATACATACATACATACATACATACATACATACATACATACATACATACATACATACATACATACATACATACATACATACATACATACATACATACATACATACATACATACATACATACATACATACATACATACATACATACATACATACATACATACATACATACATACATACATACATACATACGCACATACATTACATTACATTACGTTACATTACATTACATACATACATTACATACATACATACATACGTTACATACATACATACATACATACATAATACATTACATACATACATACATACATACATACATACATACATACATACATACATACATACATACATACATACATACATACATACATACATACATACATACATACATACATACATACATACATACATACATACATACATACATACATACATACATACATACATACATACATACATACATACATACATACATACATACATACATACATACATACATACATACATACATACATACATACATACATACATACATACATACATACATACATACATACATACATACATACATACATACATACATACATACATACATACATACATACATACATACATACATACATACATACATACATACATACATACATACATACATACATACATACATACATACATACATACATACATACATACATACATACATACATACATACATACATACATACATACATACATACATACATACATACATACATACATACATACATACATACATACATACATACATACATACATACATACATACATACATACATACATACATACATACATACATACATACATACATACATACATACATACATACATTACATACATACATACATACATACATACATACATACATTACATACATACATTACATACATACATACATACATACATACATACATACATACATACATACATACATACATACATACATACATACATACATACATACATACATACATACATACATACATACATACATACATACATACATACATTACATACATACATACATACATACATACATTACATTACATTACATTACATTACATTACATTACATTACATTACATTACATTACATACATACATACATACATACATACATACATACATACATACATACATTACATACATACATACATACATACATACATACATACATACATTACATACATACATACATACATACATACATACATACATACATACATACATACATACATTACATTACATTACATTACATACATACATACATACATACATACATACATACATACATACATACATACATACATACATACATACATACATACATACATACATACATACATTACATACATACATACATACATACATACATACATTACATACATACATACATACATACATACATACATACATACATACATACATTACATACATACATACATACATACATACATACATACATACATACATACATACATACATACATACATACATACATTACATTACATACATTACATTACATTACATACATACATACATACATACATACATACATACATACATACATACATACATACATACATACATACATACATACATACATACATACATACATACATACATACATACATACATACATACATACATACATACATACATACATACATACATACATACATACATACATACATTACATACATACATACATACATACATACATACATACATATACATACATACATACATACATACATACATACATACATTACATACATACATACATACATACATACATACATACATACATACATACATACATACATACATACATACATACATACATACATACATACATACATACATACATACATACATACATACATACATACATACATACATACATACATACATACATACATACATACATACATACATACATACATACATACATACATACATACATACATACATACATACATACATACATACATACATACATACATACATACATACATACATACACATACATACATACATACATACATACATACATACATACATACATACATACATACATACATACATACATACATACATACATACATACATACATACATACATTACATTACATACATACATACATACATACATACATACATACATACATACATACATACATACATACATACATACATACATACATACATACATACATACATACATACATACATACATACATACATACATACATACATACATACATACATACATACATACATACATACATACATACATACATACATACATACATACATACATACATTACATTACATACATACATACATACATACATACATACATACATACATACATACATACATACATACATACATACATACATACATACATACATACATACATACATACATACATACATACATACATACATACATACATACATACATTACATACATACATACATTACATACATACATACATACATACATACATACATACATACATACATACATACATACATACATACATACATACATACATACATACATACATACATACATACATACATACATACATACATACATACATACATACATACATACATACATACATACATACATACATACATACATACATACATACATACATACATACATACATACATACATACATACATACATACATACATACATACATACATACATACATACATACATACATACATACATACATACATACATACATACATACATACATACATACATACATACATACATACATACATACATACATACATACATACATACATACATACATACATACATACATACATACATACATACATACATACATACATACATACATACATACATACATACATACATTACATACATACATACATACATACATACATACATACATACATACATACATACATACATACATACATACATACATACATACATACATACATACATACATACATACATACATACATACATACATACATACATACATACATACATACATACATACATACATACATACATTACATACATATACATACATACATACATACATACATACATACATACATACATACATTACACATACATACATACATACATACATACATACATACATTACATTACATTACATTACATTACATTACATACATACATACATACATACATACATACATACATACATACATACATACATACATACATACATACATACATACATACATACATACATACATACATACATACATACATACATACATACATACATACATACATACATACATACATACATACATACATACATACATACATTACATACATACATACATACATACATACATTACATACATACATACATACATACATACATACATACATACATTACATACATACATACATACATACATACATACATACATACATACATACATACATACATACATACATACGGTACATTACATTACATTACATTACATTACATACATACATACACACACACACATACATACATACATACATACATACATACATACATACATACATACATACATACATACATACCGAAACAAACACATCAGAAGGAAAGACCAACAATCAACAAGAATCATTAAACAAAGAAACACATATTCACAGAAATATAGAAGTCAATACATACATAGACACCGATGCAACCCGCTGGCATCGGGCTCAGCTTCAATGGGAGGGTTGCCGCCCAAGGTGCCGCCCAAGTCAGGGGGAGTACTCCTAATTTTGGCAACCCATGGCTTTGCTTTCTCATGACTCGGGGTTGCTCTATCAGGTTGTGCCAAAGGTTGCTCGAAAATGGTGAAGTGCCTCAAGGGCGGAGGGAGCAACCGCTGCAAGTATGGTGTTTGATGATGGTGATGAACAGGAGGAGAAGGAAGAGGTGACGATAACGAGATGCAAGGGTTGGCCACATGACTGCCTATCCAGGTTTTTTAGCTTAATTGCAAAGTACTTTTAGAGCCACACCAGACCGAGAAGCATTCACTGGACAAGATCGAGTTGACCCTACCACGCTTTAGCATTGAAGAGTATCCATTTGGGCATATGGGATGTTGCCGGCCAACGATAAATGCCAGCTTCTTCCTTGCAGGTAATGCCCAGTGGTTGAAATCGGGATCGACCCAAATCAGACATGGGTAAACGATGTTTTGCCTTGTGGTTTATGTGTCATGTCAATCCAGTGTTGGATGCGGTTTGCTATTCCAGTAAAACCAATACGTACTATTCCAAAGTTCGGTTGCAAGCAGTTCCTTGTACTGCAAAGCACGATGCTTGCGTGGCCTGGCTCAGAACTGAGTCGTTGAAGATCAAGTTGAAGTACATGGAAGAAAGGCTGGATCAGGCGGGCATCAGTTATGGGCTGTCAAGAGCGGCTAATTGCAGCTGTCCGACCTCTGCAAAATCAAAGCACTGCTTAGCTTGCACTTCAGCCTTGCATCTTGTTCAGCAGGTCACGCTGCAAAAGGCCAAAAGGCGGCATTGCTGCTGCCGCTTTGAAGGACTTGCAACGTTCTTTCAAACAAAACCAAACAAAATCAACGCCTCAAGTTTTCTTACTGCCGTCTTGGCCAAGCTGCAGCTTCCGTGAAGCTCGGGCATCGTTGCTTTACAAACTGGGATGCTAAGACCAGCTTGATCAGATCAAACTAAGAGCTTCAAGCAATCCAACAAACTCAACAAAGGAGCCAGTCATACACATTGATGTACAATACTCCTGCAGCACATGCTTTGAACCATCCCGTCATTGTATAGTTGGTGATAGCAACTTGACCTGTTGAGGCCGCAGCTTAGACATGATTCCTAAAACTAATTGCCAACAAAGACAGGGCCCCAGTTGCCAACCCAACTTAGTTGTTTCGTCTTTTGCGCAGTTTTGCTGCGCTTGCCTGCTCTGGCTCTGGCTCCGCCACGGACACAACGAGCCGCTCCTGTCGGCCCGCAACGGCTTTTTTGAAGGAAACTGGGGCGCTCACACGCTCTGCGTCAGATGAGCAGTGCATGTAGCATCTCTACTCATCTGCTGCCTTTGCGCAGCTTCGGGTTAACAATGGCGGCCAATCATTCTCGCGTCAATGCGTGCTGAGATCATGACGGGAAAAACGTTTTGTGGCTGAAAGAACTTGAGAGGAAAGCAACCAGCAACATGCTTGTGCAAAGATTTGTCTGACATGGTCACACACACAAATGACTGGCAACCCTAGGTGTTGCCCAGTGCAAGTTGCATGCACCTTATGTGGCCTGAAAGCAATGACGCATTGTCAATCGTTCAACAATACCTGGAGAGGGATTCTGCATCTACTCAGGTGCTCACAAACAACTCGAAACACAACATATTTTGTCAACAGGCTTGGCACAGTTAGAGTTCCAGTTCATGCAGCTTCTTGTAATGGCCGTCCGCGAAGTCTCTTGGTTCAGTTGGTACCCAAAAAATCAACTTGGATGGGCTACAAACATCAAAGGCCATGGCAGCGCATGATACACTCCTTCGTCCAGGCGGCCAACAGCGGTAAGGTGCCAAGCCACCTGGAGGCGTCAAACAGGGCATCCCCGGGATGTGGACGTTCGCAAGATCCGAAATAGACCGCCCACCCACATGCCACCTGAATATCTTTCCTTTTTGTATCTGAAGGGCGCTCCCCTTGGATCCCACCAGCATGTGACTCACGCCCCTTGAGTTGTTGCTAGCTCTTGAAAGCTGGAAGCAGCGTCAATTGATGCACGCACAGCCCCTCACGTCTGACAGATCAATTCGCGCTCAGACAATGGCTACCCTTGCTGAACAACCAAATTATTTGCAAACGAACTCGTGACCAAGGGATTCATATTTGATCGTCATCAAACTATTGCTGCAGATACTTGTGGGAACTGATCTTACCTGTTTGTGATTTTGACCTGGCCGACCTTCACTCTTCCACCTGGCTATTCGGTTGTCAATCAACATCTTCGGCCTTCTCTACATCTAGTCAAAAGCTCACGTGAGCCACACACAAAATGACTTGCTTTTTCCGAAAGCCCCTGGTTTTTGAGGGTGCTTCGGCTGGTCCACCCCATGTCAACAGTAGCGATCAAGAATATCGTCAGCGACTCACATGTCCAAGCAAGTGCCTTTGATACACATGCATGGCACGGTTCGGGGATTGAGAATGACCATGAAGCATGCTGGCGATAGCCGCCACACAACCTGCTGGGCTATCCAAACTCAGTTTCGCTCTGCTCAGCAGAAATAGCTGAAACAATCTCTGCGCTGTGCTCTAATTGCTCCGTATTCATCAATGGTGGAGAGAATCAACCCTGACACAACCGTTTCTGTGTGTACGGAATTGCAGTCATGACATGTGGCGATTTCCCCTACCCTTGCTCTGATTGAAGCGCGGCCTCACTTGGAGCATGCGCGCGGCTTTGCGCCGCTCCTTGGCTTTCTGTCGCTTTCCGCTCTTGCCTGTTGCTCGACACGTGATCTGCGCTTGTCTCAAGGCAAGTATATGTGATGAATACAAGCCTGTGCTGAGAACCATCGCCTTGATTGAGCACATGTTGGGCTACCGCCTGCTTCTTGTTTACTCAGCTATGGACAGCTCAGGTCCCGTTTTATTTTGAGCCTATCGGCTGCAAATTGCAGCTGCTTCGTCCAGCATTTCTTTTTCTTTTCTTTTCTTTTCTCTCTCTCTCTGTAACATACAAACACAAGGGGCTGATCCAAAACAGGGGATCACACCCAGCAACCCATTGTACTCAAATGGCTAGCGCTCCTTGTGCTTTGTCTCAAAACAAGTCATCCAGCAAACGAAGGACTTCCAGCTGAGGCATGCAGCAAACGTGGTCAAGCCTATCAATCACTGCGTAGACTGTCAGTTGTGTCTACAAACGGCCGGCAGTTGGCTCTGAGTCATGTTCAACTTGAATTTGGACCTGCTGACGAAATCCGGTACGTCCTGATTGACTTGAGGCAAGGAGCAACCGTCCGTGGCTTGCAGCTTCCCGCCAAACTTCTCACAGCCCATTGTCTACGCAAGGTTGATCACAGCACACTGCTGCTGTTGCGGGGGAGCAAATCGCTTTGTGTCTGGAAGGTTCTCATTCGCAGACGCGACCGCCTTTTTGGCGCTGCACGAGGATGAAGTACCGGCGCTTGAAGCGCCCGTGGCTCCACAGCCGATCGAAGTAGGAGGAAGCCTCCGTGCGTCACTTGAGACCCCCCAAGAAGCCGTTTATCATATGGCCATGGGTCAAAATCCAAATCGTACATCCAGTGAACATCCCAATCTCCACTATAGACTAAAACGGGTGGTGCACCTACCAACCAAAATGGTGCCATTGGTTTTGACCCGCGGCCATATCACAAGGTTTGAAGGAGCGTAGTTGACAGTCCCAAACCTGCCACGCGGAGGGCACTTTCCAGAGTTCCGGCCGCGCTCCAATCAGGCCCCTAGAGGGAATCATACAGATTCAGGAATGCCATCTGTCCCAAAAGGCGGTTTGAAGCAGGGCAGCACAAGCCCTCCGTGCCGCAAAGTTACCCTCACGACGGTTCAAACGGAGACCACCCCCAAAAGCAATTTGGAGAACGCCTCAAAAATGTTCACTTTAAGTGACCCAGCGAGTGGGCCTCTTAAGTTCACATTATCCGCTGCCAGCTTGAGGCCTGGCTCAAATAAATCCAACCCAGCGCTTGGGACTCCCTTTCCCATCACCCACAGAACAAAGAACCAGGAGTTCAGCTTCAAATCCGCAAGCACATTGCAACCCTCCAGGCCACAAGATGACAAAACATAGATCGCACTGAGCCCGCAAACATGCACAGCTTGATCTTGGGCCTTCCCTCCTGGTGTCCCGCATCAGGGAACACTCTATAGCACGGGCCCATTGGCTTCCTTTAAAACCATCCACAAGAGGCTATCAAGCTTCAATCACACCCAACTGAGCAGCACCCAAATCCAATTTCTTCGACTTTTGGTTCTACCAAGATGGTTATTAAGGTTTATACCGCCCCTACAGTCACCCCCTTGAACCCACGTTGCAGAATCATCTACTAACATGGCTAATGGGACTTTTGCGCTGCTCAACTGTTGCTCCACGCTTGTGAGTGCCTGTGGCTCCACCACCCCGGCAGTCGGGCCGGGTCTGCCGCGCCAGATTTGGACCTGGGGAACATGTTGCTCGAAAACAAACATTTTGCTGGAAACAAAAAAACGGCAAACGCAGACCCCTTTGCTTTCAGCCCGGAGCGGAGTTGAGACTGCCCTTGCCTTCGCACTCAGCTGCCATGACTCCAATGGTCCCACCGATCTTTTGCCATATCTCCAGCTCTAAGAGGCCCCGGCGCTGGCATCCTCCGCGCCTCAGGCGGAAAGTCCAAACGTGGCAGTGTCAGAAAACGAGCACAGGTTGGGGTGGTTGGATTGGGAGGATGGGTTCCGACTAGCTTGAGGTTGTTGGATTGGCTAGTTGCAGCTTTACTTGCCCTATTTGAACATTCCACACCATGAGCATCCCTTCTACTTCTAAAGGTTTCCTCAAGTGTGGAGCTTTGACAATGTCACGCAGTTGTTGCCGTGGGCACTATTTTTCACTTGATATTTGATGTTTGCTGAGGTAATTTCTCAGCCTACAAAAGGGAAGTAACGTATACATCTGACAAGGGAGGCTAATCACAACACACAAATTTCCAAAGACAAGTATGCGTCACAAATCTGAAATTAACGCATGTGCTGTGCTGAGCCCTGCTGCGATCTTGATCCCTCCAATCCAACCACCTCAACCTACACCCTGCTTGCCGGCTTTCTTCATTCTAGTTCCATTCTGTTCTCTTCTTCTTTTTCTTTGCTCTCTCTCTCTCTGTCTCTCCCTCTGTATATTTTTCTTTCTGCAAACCACAGAACCACCCAAACTTGCCCGCGACAGCTCCAATGTCTCACAAACAGCTTGGTCATTTCGCAGGCTCGAAAGGCGACTTGCGGCTCGAGGCTGCCACCCTCGCGCACAGCTTCCCCTGGATCAGGCGCCTGGGCTACTGGCAAGCAGTGGCTTAGGCTCGAGAATCGGGGCCGGCTGGATTCAAACTATTGCAGTGGCCTTGCTGCCTTGCTTTCGGAAAAACGGCTTTGCCAATTCTGCTTATTCACTTTGAGTGGCACACCAATTGTGGGACACGAGCGCCAGCAGCTGGGTTGCAGCATGCTGCAGCCAATGGGTTGGATCTTTTCCAGCAAGAGAGGGAGCAAATCCCACAATGTTCACTGAGACATGTTCTGGTACCACTTGTACAGGACATCAACATGGGAGATTGAAGGATTCTTTTCAGGGGGTCAAATCTAGTGCAAACATCGTGCAACGCATCCAGCACGGAATTCCCAGGCTGGGCTTCAGACATTTTGGAAGCCGCCTGCACGATCAATGGTTGCTGCAAGCTGCCGAAGATATGTGACCTCGTGGCGAGGGGAACAGGGCCTAGATCAACTTGCCGAAAGCGCCCAAAACGGTCGACCCTGAATACTTTAGAAAGGCACATACAAGCCTTTTGTGATACACCCATAAGCATCCCTCTCAATAAGCAAAAACATCCTTCGTGATCATGTTGTTGCTCATGGGTTTTGACGTCCGGTTGTGTCCAAGCTACATTCAACAAGCAGTTTGCTGTCCACATCATGGACCACCAACGCCAGGCGAAACCACAGCTCACAGGCTGCAGCGTTCTGGAGCACACAAAATCAAGATGCAGTGGCCTTGCTGCCTTCGAATTGTGGGGGGCTCAGCGGTTGACCGAGCGCCGGTATTTGTCGGACAAGTACTTTGACGAGGGTGACAACATGCTTACTGAATGGTGGCTCAGATCAAATGACTGACTTTAGCAGGCAGCTGGCAGCTAATTCGCTTGGGGATGTTGTGTTGTGGTCTGATGGCCATGGTCCCAACACCACATTTTGCGATGACAACAACCACCACCCACCACATCTACCTCTGCCACCACCGCCACCACTATCTCCAGCTCCACCAATCCACCACAGTCACCACCTCATCTCCACCAACTCCAACACCTCCACACCAACTCCAACACCTCCACCACCTGCACCAACTTCACCACCACGTTGCTCTATGAATCCTCCTTTCTGAACATCTTGGCCGGGGCCCCAGCATTGTCTGAATGCACCAACAGCATGCCCTTGGCCCTCAGCACCCTGTGGATGAGCTTGAAGGTGGACACCTCTGTTTGACTGAAAGGATCTCAGCAGAATTTGCCCGCAAGGTGTGCATTAAAGTTGCACAACAGGGGGCTGGTTGGCACCCAGTACCCAAAGGCAAGGGAACATTGGGGTGAATGCCACTTCTGGGAGGGCCACCAAGCCGACAGATTTGCAGCCTAGTTGGGTCATTGATGAACAGAGTTATGACCATCCTTGTCATCATCCTCATAGGATGGCGAAAGTTGGCTTGAAACTCATTAGGCTGAACTTAACAGAGGCCAGGTCGATGGTACATCACGCTTGCCCTTGATTTTACTTGTTCAACTAAGTTGTATGGCAGCCTGGCGCGAAACAAAGGCACGAAGGAGGAGCCTTCCTCCCTCCTTACATTTTTGTCATTGACAAGCTAAATTGAAAACAGCCTCCTTTAAGCTGATGCATTGCATTGAATCTCAGCGCAAATCCTTCCCTCCAAGTGCTCTTGCACCCAGCAAAGTAATATGAAATCCTTTTTGGGGGCCCCTCAAAAGAAGATTCCTCCAACAGTGATCTTTTTGAGGGGGGTTCCTGATGATCCGAAGGGGTTGTCTCTCCCGTCCAAGAATGGACTATTTTTGAGGGTTGAAACGTTTGAGTCCAGCCAGAAATGTCCAGAAATTCTGGATTGCTTCCTGTCCCAAACCACTAATTTCCTTATCAATCCCTTTACTAGAAGATGCACCCTGACAAATTTTCAAGGGGAAGGCAATAATGCAGTTTGTTTAAGGGTAGGGAATTGCGAACAAATGGCCAGGCAGCCTGCCAAGAAGAAGAAGAACCAATACTAAACCAATTCTAAACTGTAGTGAGTCAACTGAAAAGAATACTGATGAATACTGAACTAATACTAAACCAATTCTAAACCGTAGTGAGCCAGCTCAAAGGAATACTAAACCAGTAATTCTAAACAATACTTACTGCAAGACTACTCAGGCAGGTCCCAGTCTGACCCCCATTTTGTTTTTGGGGTTTTCGCTATTGACCCCCCCCAATTCGTTTGAGGGGGGGGGGCCTTTATTAATCACTCTCCAACATTAACAATATGCGGGTCAGTTTATGCTTGCTTCTGGTGGTGAGTGCCACACAGATTTGAAACAAATAGACGGCGGAAGGTAATCCCAACACCGGAGACTCAGAGAGCAAACAACTGCACGCCTGAAAAGAACATACTTGCTGGGAAGCTTCTCTTGACAGCATCTTGGAACGAACCACAAAACTCATGTGATTGCTCCCGGGATGAGCACAAGCAATGGACAAGGTAACCGCTCTTGAACCAACTTCACCTAGCGCTTGAGCCGGGGCCCCAGGGCTGCGCTAGTGGCTCCACACCACGGTGCAGCGTCTACAAAGCCGCTGTCCACCCGGTGGCCCCCTGTTTTTGTGCTGTTTCGTCCCGTTCCTTTCGGGCTTTTTGTTGTTTGGGTGTTTCGGGGGGTGTGCCATTTTTGAACGGATGCCATGGCCGGCGCGCCGTTGTCATGATCCTGTTCGGCTTCTACGCCCTTGAATGGCTGGCTTTCTGGAGGCTTTTGTGCTTTCGCCTCGCTGAAATTTTGTTGCCTCTGATGGCTCAGCTGCAGGATGTCACATATCTGCCTTCTCGGCCATGGACTGATTCACGATGACCGCCGGGTCTTTTTGCTTTGCATTGGCAGGTAGGGGAGTTCTGCGGCCCCGCGGCTGTCACACGCAGGTCTGCAGATGTGGTATCTCCCTGGTCTCGTGCTGTTTTTCTATGCCAGGCTGCGCAGTCTTGAGCTCTTGGTCGCAGAGTCATCGGGCTTCTTTCCTGCCCAAAGTGTGCTTGGCGAGGAGTACAGGTTTTCTTTCTCAGTGAGCAAGAGATATGCTTGGATCCACCATGACCACGCACAGGTCGTGGTTGCCGTTTTGGCTTTGGCTACTGCACGTGTGGCCTGCTTGAGTATGTGTATACATATCCTTGTATATTATTTGTGTGTCTGTGTGGGCGGCTGACAAGCAGCCTGGCCCTGATGCGCATCTTTTTGCCAAGTGTCGTCCGGAGTCTAGAGGCTCCGGGTCGGAAGCGACCGCAGGAGACTGCCCGCTGACAGAGTGAGATGAAGGTCCTTTGCACATATCTTGGTTTCAGAATTATGGCAATTTGCCACTGGGCCCCAGTACCCTGGACTTGCACTGTGAGCAGAGCCATGTGCGGACACCCACATGGACAGCCCAGCACCAAGTCGAGGACCGGTGCACATTCAGCCTCTTTGATGTCCGAAAGTATCCAACATGTGGCAAGGTCAAAAATCATACCGGAAGTGGCTCATTCTCTCTTGCGCTGCCGCTCTAGTGATTTCTGCTGCTGCAGAAAGGTCGCAGTGTCAAGCGCTTGCAGACTCAACTTGTAGAATTGAACTGAACAACCGAAGCTGATGCTTGTACAAATCCATCCGCAACCCCCAAGTCTCCTCGCAAAACAAATGATGCATGCTGTGTATGAGCTCACAAAAGCAACCAATGCAATATGCAAGTGCTCAAAGGACTGCACAGTAGCAGTGGCCTTCCACCCCTGCTCTTCTGTTCACCAAATCTCCCTTAAAGCTCTGAGCAGTCCACTGTGAGCAGATGCGGAGCTGAGTCATCGCCTGGCGAAGACCGTCAGACCAACCCACTGCTGCCCACTTGGCAGCGTGTCCCGGATGCTTGGTATGTAAAATACGGCGATTAGCACGGGCCAGTGCGGACATACGGACGTCCGCCCCCTGCCATAGGATTTCAACCCGTTTGTGACTTTGGGCCTAAGGCCGCTGCTCGGCGGACTTTGAAGTTCTCAACGGCTCGATTTATAAGTATCTATAGTGCGGGATAGATGCGACCCCCTTTCCGTCAAAGGACCGATGGCACAACCCATGTCATCAAGATTCCTGAGAGGCACACATCTGGACGTCGCTTGCTTTAAGCGGTTGGATCTTGTAATTTGGCCAGCAAACACTCTCTCAATGACCCCCCCCCCATTTACCCCACTAATGGACTGGTTGGCATGCCTGCACAAAGGGGAACGATGCATGATGCTGGGACTAGCTTGACTTTTGGTAAATAATTACCTTTGCGATATTTTGTGATACTAGTCGACCTCACTTCTTTGCTGAGAGGTCGTTCCCCTTTGCCTGTTTCACCACAGCCCCTCTGCCTGCGGCGTCACCGTCACCCAGGCCCCGGCGCACCGGTGGCTCGGGGAAGTTGACCTAGACCATTCAGCCAGCTGCCAACCCCCTGGTGCCATTCGCTTTCCTTGTAAGATGACGGGGGGTGGCTTTTAGCTCACACTTTGCCCAACCAAGCATGCCCTCCAGAACCCCTTGGACCTGCAACCCTGATTTCGCTTTCCTTCCTCCGGAAACGCGCTTCTGACAGGCAAGCTTTACGCACGCAGTCGAAGCTGGGCAACAGCTCTTTCGCAAATGAACAGGAAACCTAAGAATCAACGAACCAACCACGCGATGTTTTTGCAAGCAAAATGCAACCATGTCACTTCCTGTCAAAAGTTCCAGGAACGTTCCCTGAAAGCATGTGTTCACCTTCCGTGCCCCACGCTCCCTGAGCTCAGCCCAGTGACGAAGACTTGTGCCACTGATCCAGGCGCCAATCTGACAGGAGGGGGCGCTGAAAGCAATAACAGATGCTGTGCAATTGGCAGCGAACAGCCACGACCCATGACATCAATGCCAACCCCCGCCTGAGATTTTTCGTCCTCTTTATTTGCAGCTACGATTGAGGCTGCTGGGCACATTCTGCTTTGTGCCAAAGGGGGAAAAGAAGGTGGACACCACTCTTTCCCTTCTTCATTGCCTTCCGTACCGAGTTCAGGCAGAATTCTTTCGCGGAACGACAACATTGTGACATTCTTCGACTCTTACACGCTGCATTGGAAGGTATCAGGACAGGGGTGCTTTGTCATTGCCCTGAACTTATTCCAACCAATTTCCTGACATGCTGAGTTGAGGGATGGGATATCAAGCAACACCTGTACCTGTACACGCATGCTGGCGTTTGGCCCGCCTTCTTTGAAACTTTGTTTTACCTGAGAACTACCACGTGTGAGCGCTTCCTGCAGCCACAACACTTCAGTCAAACACACGCTTATGCTTTTTAGGTCAACCGCGGGTCAAATTAATAAGTGCAACAGGCGTGGAACGAGCAATTCTCACGCCGTATTAAATTCAAAATAACCGAAGGCTTCTCGGCGCCCAAAATTAACGGCCCTGCGTAGGTCTCACTGTGTAGGATTCTAGGCGGAAAGGGCCGATTGAACTTCAAGAAGCGCAACGTTTGTCTGGCCAGTGTATGGTCATTTGGAAGCCCCAACCAGCTGCAAATTGACACAGGGATTGGCAAACAAACTTCAACAAGTGAGGCACGCCAGCAATCCAAGGCATAATAATCCCGGACTCCTTTTCGAAGCCATTGAACATCCATCCTTTCCAGCGATAATCTGCCAGCGGGACAGCTGCAGAAGCATCGCGGCGTCGCCCGCCACGAAGCAAAGATTGGAGACCTTGGATCAAACAAAGCCGGACCCACCGGCGGCACACGCAGTGTTTGAAGCGTCTCTCAAATGCCAAGTTGCGAAATACGTTTGATTTCACTGTTCACCTTCAGCCACCAATCAAGGCCTATTGAACGACACTTTGATGAAATGCAACAGTTTGAAGCTGATCTTCACTTCCACCACGGTGGACAACCCGTGAGATATAAATCAAACAAGCAAGTTGGCATTGCTCTTCACACAACCACGCAGGTGCATGCAGCCTATTTGTTACCGCGGTCTTCTGCTCCCTCAGTCAACTATGTAAGTCAAAGTCTGGCGCACGTCCCCAGCTAGCCATGACAATCCCTAGCCCCTGTCGATTCAATGGGATAAGCTGCCTACAGCTCGAACAGTATGAACATTTCCAACCCTTGGTATGGCAGTCAAACGTTTTGTTTTCTTGCAGCCCCTTACTAAACATGAAGAGAACCAACAAATACTAAAATCCTAAAAGCACACTAAGATCTGTGAAGCACCCCAAGTCAACCCTAAAACCACCCACCCTAAACCAGGCAGAGAGACCAACGATTCTCGGCATTTTTGGTTCTGAGGCCCCGGCGCCCGTCAGAAATGCCCGGGAGAAGGTCCGGAAGACCCGATCGCGCCTTCCGAAGCGAGCGAGCGAGCATCCGGTCGCATGGGGGTTGGTGTCTAAGTGGGGTATGTGTGTCAAAAATACGGGGACCCCATGGGGTAAATGTGCTAAAACACGAACACCCCCCATTATTGGGCTTGATCAATATTGTGCTCTTCCCCAAAATGTTCATGGGTAACTTTTCTCATTTAGTGGTGAAGGTCATCTTTTTTGGTCGGTCACCCCATGTAAATCAGAAGTCCGGATACGCGTTCGTTGGATTTAGCGGGCTCCCCCAGAAAAGCTGCCTTCTCAAAAAGTTGAGAAGGCACTGTGACCCTGGCAAAACCACGTGCCCAAAAATGAGGCACCTGGGCATCGTGCTGGGGAAGGTTCGGGGATGGGGGTCCAGACCCTCGAGCAAAGGACCTTTTGATCTTGTCATGCCGTTTCCCTGCAAATCAAGCTGAACAGGGTACCGCGTATATCGGTGGCCGACTGCTGGTCAGTTCCTATATGACCCACAGTGTTGCTTAATTTGAAACCTTCGTTTCTTCTTTATTCCCCTGGGTCACAGAAGGGTCCTGTCCAAAAAGGACGGATGGGCTATGAACACGTCCAGAGGCTCCCGAAGCTTCGGCCCACGCCTGTGCTCCACGCAGGCCCAGTTGCCCTCGGCGTCTTTGGCCGCTTGGGCGCAAACCCACTCCCCCTGGCCACTGGACTGTGGGGGGTTTTGGAATGGGGGGCGACGAGGGTACTTGAAACCCTATATTATGTGGTTTTAAAGAATAGCGGGAGAGAGAAAGACAAACCAATATTCGACAAATGGGGTTGGTCTCATGTATTTGAATCCTCGGAGCAACCCGGTCCCTGTTGGCCCCAGGGTAAGTGGCATAATAAGAGTCACCAGCATAAATCACACATTGACAGGCGTACAACATCGATGTCAGCTGCCTCATTATTACCAGTGCGCTGCGGTCGATTCGCCAAATGTTGCAAGTAAGCCGAGTACAAATGAACCAGTGAAATGCATTCTTTGCGCAGTCCCATATTTAGGAAACCAATCGTTGGACCAAGCTAGATGATGGAGATAGCCCGCCTGAAATCAGAACATGTCTGTTCCAAGGGCAGGCGTGAATCATGGTCATGATTTGCTGAATAGGAAGCTTTTTGCAATTGTGGTCTAAAGTTCCAAGGGGACCATCCATACCAGCCCGGAATGAAAGGGTTTTTCGACCTTTCGACCATGGCAAACATGACCTGCCACGGCATTTCCCCGATGGATATTGGCTCCAGCCGCAACAATCACTCTCCGGTTACGCCTCAAAGTGTCTGGCCTGCAGAGCATTCGAACATCAATAAATACAGCAAAGATATTACATCTGCAACAACCTTATCTTAAGCCCCAATGCTCTTGAACATCTTCAACCCCAATGCTCTGTATTTGAACATCTGTTTGAAGGCTGAGCACTCCCAACTGCGTCTGCAAAGAGGTTGCCTCATGCACCAGCCAGAGCCGTGTTTGTATCTTCAAAGCCTTTCTTAAGGACACATGTCAAAGGCCTCTGAAGGATCTGTTCTGCGTCTTCAATGTGGGCCCCCCATGGGGGGGCATCAAGGTAGCATGTATATATATATATATATACACATACATAATTTACATAATGTATCCAACTCCAGGCTTGTTCCCGATTTTCACCTTGTTCCCTGCTCGCGTTGTCGGTGTTCACTCACAGGACAGTTGTGGGCTTACCACTTGTGGTCTTTTCAAGTTCGTCTCCGTCCAGCTCAATCCCCAAAACGGCTCTAGCCGTGTTGGTTGAAATCTCTCCACTCCCCACCCAAATGGCCTCACCAGAGCAGAGCTCCAACTGGCAGGTCGTGGGACACAGCGCAGCATGAGGTCATGTTGTTTGACAACAAGTGGCACTGATCTCTGGTTGGCTTGAATTATTGCCAGTGCTATTTTCTTTTCAAAGGACGGGAGCATGATCATGACCATCAAGATATGTGAAGTGAGAAGCACGCCTTTGTCAGGTGACGCAATTGGTTCCTCTTAGTAAGGAGAACATAGTCTGGAGCTGGTGTGCGCATCAAAGAAGCTCGCACCGCCAGCCTCTGATTTGATTCTTGGGACAAGGAACAGCGTGTCAGGTTTGCGTGATCCTGACCAAGACACCAGCCTAGGCAAATGCCACACAGAACTGATAAACACGACTTTGGTATCGCGCACTTCAGCTGTATTTGTCAAAGGTCGGATTAGGGTGAACAAAGGGCTGATTGAAGGCGGTTGAAGCATTGCAGGGCTGGTTGAAGGTTGGATTGGTGTAGTCTTGGGGTAAGTTTCAGGCTTGGCCTGGGGTCGATGCAAAATTCCGTGAAGGGTTGGGGGGTGGTTGATGTACAGACACAGGGTTGACTAGGAGGGTTGAGCTTGGCATCGGGCAGGAAGCCACAAGCCAGAAAAGCTAAAAGCCCAACGGCCGAACAGCCCGCAACAAAAAAGTCCTTCCCGCCTTTTCTTTCTTCCCTTCCCGTCTTCCTGTGCAGGCGGAGTTCCTTTTAGCTTTCCTTTTGAGCCGACCCCCAAAAGGATACCCTCCAAAACACACACCCATTCATGCAGGGGACCAGCCCCCATCAGCGCACAGCGTCTTAGGGCAATTCAGGCCTTCAGCGGCAGCTCCGGCGAGTCAAAGGCTGCTTGCAGGTCCCAGCCTCGAGAAGTTGATCGTGGCGAACCGCGCCGTGATTGAGAGAACCAGAAGACCCAGGCGTGAGCCAAAAAAGAGAACGCCTTTTCAAGGCTTCAGCTGTTTGTGAGTTGTTGGGAAGGTCTTCTGGCTGGAACCTCGTGCTATATCTAGGTCATTTCAGCATCATGGTTGGTTCGGTCTCTTCCTAGCATTTGTCCGAAACTGCACCAAACATGATTGCCCAGCAGGAGACATTTTGCCCCCCGCAAGCTGCTTTGGTTTGCCAGCTGGTTCAACTAGTTGGCTCGCCGAGCCAGTCATTTCTTTGGTCTGCACTTACTGCCAACCACAAACAAGGAAAAAGTGTTTTTCGCTCCAGTCTCTTCTTGACTACTCACTTCGGCAAGATAACACTATCGGCACTTGCTTCTGCATCACCTCCACTCAGTCTGGATGCCTTGGGTCTGCAGCGTTGGTGGACAGGATATTTCATGTGAGTATACAAGTCATTTCACAGCAACGATAAACTCAAAAACTCGCAGGCTTTTACATCTGAGAAGGCTGTAGTGAACAGTGCCTGATGAGGATCAACCAAGCGCTCTCCGGGCGTTGGGACTGACACATCCGCAAATCAATGTCCCAGTACTGAGAGATCCCACTGCACGCTGGGTGCTTCAGCTTCTTGGTTGTTAGGCTTGTGCTGCCCTAAAAACGGCATCATCTGCGGCCCCGAAAACTGTCCCAGCTGGCCCCATGGCTGTGTGTTGCGAGCTCCCAACGGGAACACTCTCTCAACCCGATCCTGTTCACCGACCCGGGAACACTTGCTCGACCCCATTCACATGGTCCCAAATGATTAGGTCCACCGCCCAAGGGAAGACTCCATCCACATTGCACCACATGATTACGTCCACCGCTGCAATGCAAACTATCAAACAATGTGGGGCACCACGCGTCGCTTTGTCTGCGATCAAAAAAATAGCGCGCAAAATCCGTGAGTCACCGTTTGTTGTCATCTGCGACCCAAACACCGTGTCCTCTGCAAACCTCTAATTCGTTTTTTTTGTTCCCCTCCTTTCTTTTTTTTTGCGTCACACACGATACAAAGCGTTTTAGGGTGACAAATAAGGCGTGCGCCCCCAACTGCAATATAATCTTGATTAATTTAGAATTTCCAGGCACATAGTATATACAAAGCCTCAACAAATGCTCTGTCTTGCGGGCGGCACCAATCATGTGGAAAATAAGCCTTTCTGCAACCAACATCGGCCATGCCTGTGACTACTTTGCCCCTTTCCCACAACCATGCACACTGCACCATGGAGACACGACCTTGAACAAACCTCAGACTCCAGTGCCTCCGTCTCCCACAATGGAGCGCAATCGGCGCAGAAGCTGCTTCGGCGCCTCCCAACAATGGCGGAGACATGGTGCGCTAGCCGCTGTCCGAAGGTCCAAAGTAATGACTTAATGCAGGCTGTAGAAAACACGTCATTTAATGGCGACATATCGTTCTTTGCTGCCATGACAGGGTTGGGATGACGACCTTTGTGAAACAAAGGCTGTTGTCCGCCCACAAACAGTTGCCACAACCCTGGCCGTTGGCCATGCAAACAGTTTGCGCCATCTCAGCTTTCAAGTGGACGGCCTTCTCAGGCCTGTGGGTCAAAAATGGGTACCCAAGATGGGTTGCCCTGGTAAATGGAACCATGGACCGTTTAACTTTGACTCATACCGCTTTTCAAGGCGGCTCTTGGGTTTGCTGGCAACTCTGTTTTCAAATCGGATGGAACTGGCAAAGGAAAGTGTGCCTCTTTGGGACATCAGGACCGGCGCCTTGGCACAACTTTAGAGGCCTCATTAAAGCTGACATCAAGGGGGGGGGAGTGGCGATGGCGCATAGCCATGTTCTGGTTTTCCTGGGACCTTGTGTCCTCCTTGCCCAAATTACCACTTCTTTTGGAGCGTTGTGCTTGGATTCAAGGCCTTTGTTTGGTCCCATGTGAGCTTTGACCATTAGCCATTTGCGCATCTGAAGGCTTAATCAGGGTGACCGACCACACACGCACAATCTTTCAGGCCAGCAATCCTTGGACAGGTTTTCAGCATGACGAACAGGTCTCGGGATCGGAAGTCTTTCAACACTTCACCACCCCACCTCCTCCGAGCCACACCTGAGCGAGGGCGAGGATGCGGCAAAGCCAAATTCTGGTTGGATGCTACCATAGGGCAACGTGTTCTCCGATCTCAGACACGTCGATTTTCCATTCATAAGAGAAGGGCGGTTCTCCAGCAATAAACATGCACATGGACATGCTGTTCCTGTTGGCAGGCCGGCAAAAATAATGAATCTGTTGGTTTGTTCCCACTGCTCCTCTAACACGAAACTGGTGTTTAAGGGACCTTCAGCTAAGTTGCCATGGCAACGTAGGGCAAGCGAAGCACCGGACAATACCAAGAAGGTGCAGAACACCTGGAGATTCCCTTGACTTCACCAAGCATCCTTTAGTTGACGGAAGGATAACCAACAACGGCTCAGGACATCCACAAGTTTGAATTTTCACTGTTGAAATGATGTCTACCAAATGGCCACTATAACCCTATATGCAAAACTACAGCCTTCCAAGTACCGCGTAAATGATTTCTCTTTCGGCTCCCTTCAAGAAACGACGCCAACGGATCCAACCAATAACACCCCTCCAACCAGGGGCACATCTCCAAAGGGTCTCTACTGAAATCTCTCACCATGTACCCTTGTGGTTTAGCCATCTCAAAGCAACCCTGAAAATCCAGCTGAACCAATCATCTCCAACATGCGCTTGTAATTCCTCTTTGAGTGTCCCCTGTTTGCCTTGGTTTCAAGGGAAACCAACAAAAGAAATGCATGGCCATGGGTCAAAATCCAAATCGTACCCCCAGTGAGCATCCCAACCCCAACTAAAATAGGTTCTAAAATGGGTGGTGCATTCACCGAAAACCCCCCAAAATGGAATCCCATTGGTTTTGACAACCACGGCCACATCATATACATCATGTCTTGGTTGGACCCCAATGCCTATTTTCCCATCCCGCCTCCCGCCGGCATCCGCCGGCCACGCCTTTCGCGCCGGACGGCGAAATTTCGCGGCCAAGGCGCAGCTCCCGCAGACCGAAGCTCCGCCGCAGCTCCAGCAGCATGCCTCGGATCCGCGCAGATCGCTGCGCGCTGGTCGGCCCTGTGCCCCAGAAAGGAAGCAAAGAGGAAACAAGGGGCAAGCGAGGTTGGGAGTATGAGGGTTTCATGGTTAGGAGACTTCAGGTTCGGGGTTGGGAGGGTTTGTGAGGGGCACCAAAAGCTCCAGGCTGCTTCACAAAATGTTTGATCGCCCTTGGGTTGCTGAAAGGGAAGCCAGGGGACACATTTTGGGCTTATAAACAGGGAAACTACAAACGAAACCAAAAGAGCAACTTGGAAGGGAGATTAATCGAGGGAAGCCAAAACGGGAAATTCCGCAGGGTAGCGAAAGGCCGATGGTACAGCTGTGTTCAGTGGGTCTGCCACAAAGGCATCGCAGTGCAGATGTTTCAAAGGCGGGCCTTGTGTGTGATGTTCAAGCGGAAACCAGGAACGAACCACACTCTTGGGGGGCGGGGGGTACCCAACGGTCGGGACACTCGATGCTTCACTGGAGCAACAAGTCCTTATGGTCCTGCAACTCTATACTTTCAAGTTGCTGCCCTCATGATCAGCCATTGTGAAGTGGGTGCAAAAGTACTCTAACTCCCGCCATTCATTTCTCCAACTGCTGCCACTCCGCTTAGATTCCTGCAACCCATTCGGCGAATTGTTCTTCTGTTCTCTCTGAGCGCCCAGCTCTCGCATGCCTTGCCGGTCCGAAGGCGGCAATTGGTGAATAGTTGCATATTTGTGATATGAATTGCATGCCATGTATTCTGCTCCCTGAATAGACATGGGAAAATTATTGAGTGCACTGTGTTGTAAGAAGTTTACTTAGTCCCCCATAATGAAATTGATTGCTGCAAATATTGGCCGAACCTGATGCGTGTGTTTGTTTGTGTGCGGTAGCTCCCCGCTTCAAGTCGCTCCTTTCCTCGCCTTGTCGGCCAGCGCAACACAAGCAGGGTCTTCTCCGTGAGAATCATTTAAGTGAACCTGTTGGTTGCTGACAAATCATACATGCGGGAATCGTGGACAGTGAGCCCACTTAATCACTTCTCGGCTTGACAGGAGCATCCATGAGGCAGAATGCATCGTTTCGTACCGCAACAAGTGTACCTTGCTGAGGGAGCCTGACAGTTCCCAGGAGCAATAAAGTTGAACAAAACAAAATCCTAATGTAACAATGTCAATAAACCAGACACTATGGCAGATGAAGGGGAATCCTGGTTCTGGACTTGCAATCTCATCTATGGGGCTTCAAACATGTCTCCACAAGTGGCTTGCTGTCCAAGCGATTGACGACGAGCCTTGCCTCAACCGTTCCCATGTTATGGGGAAGTGCAAGAAGCCTTGCCATCGCCCTCGGCGCATCATCCGAGAGCAGGGTCAGTCATCCTCTACAGGGTAGCTCCAAAGGGGTTCCCATGGCAAACAGTGGCCTGCACTCAGATGATTTTGACGAGTGCGACTGCTGAAGTATTTGGAAGCTTTATCCAAGCTTCAAATGCCGGCATGTACTGCTTGCTGCAGAGTTTGGTGCAGCAATAAATCATTCAACGGTGCATGCCGAAGTTTGATTCTGACTCAGGCAAGTACAAGCACGCCGCCTGCAGCGTGTGGCTAATTCCATCAAATGTAAATGCCCGTGCACTGCACGCCAACAAGACGGTTTTTCCTCCAGACAGGTTCATCCTGGGGTTCCCGGGGCTCTCAAGCGAACATCTCAAAAAGCTGGTTTTGTCAAGTGCGTTGTCTCCCTGACCTGAAGGTGATAGGTACAGTCTGCTCACGACCTTGCTGCTGGCTGTGCTTAGCTCCCTTACGCATCAGCCCGTCAATCCTGCTCATCCCTCCTATGAGGTGGACTCCTCTTGTCTGTGACGGTCCTCAACATGGACGTGGGAGCACACAAGAGTTGCCTTCAGAAAGCCTCGCATGGTGCCTATAGCACAAAACATAAGTGGCGGGCCGCAGCCTTGCGCGGCGTAGTCAACTCGTGTCTTTTTTGGCGGTATCCGTTCCCCCCTACTTATTTTTGTGGCTGTTTTCTTGGGGATGCTCCCCATGTTCAAAGACACGCTCTGAGCTGCAGGCGAAGGCTTTACCGCTGAGATCTCGCCGCCTGCAATAGCGGTGTCCAAAGCTCTCGACGGACGACCCAAGTGATTCTGTCAAGCCAATGTCAACTCCAGATTCATCAAAAGGACTCTGTTCGGAAAAGCCGGAAGGGTCTACGTCTGAATCTCAATTCATGTGGACCCTTTGGTGGACACCATTCAAATGGGACCACGATTCGAGAGGCCATTCCGGGTTACAAAACTATCGAAATGCGATTGTGAAGTGACAAAGTCCACCATAGGTGTGTGTGTGTGTGTGTTGGTCGGTCATTAGCCATGAATGTCAGCAAACTACACTGGTGAACATGCTTTTGGCTGGTTGACTTTTCATTTCCCTTCAACAAGGACCCAGATCGATTTTAACCCGCCCCACTCTTCAACGGGTTCTTTCGGCAACATGCCAAGATCGCAAGCGACCGCGCGCTTCGAAAGCCACTTGCCAACAGAGTCCTGCTTCAAGCTATGGGCCCTGAGCTACACATCTCATCTACGAACCCAACATCAGAACAATATGCCGGAACTAAGGATCCTTCCAAACGAGGGCCAAGCTGGTCCTTTTATTCTCACACGTCCCAAGAATGCTTCCTAATATCCTGAATTAGAGTTCGCTGGCCGACCTTACCACCCGAGTCTCCAATTCCAGGGGCCTGTGTCATACCCCACTTTTGGGAATCGGACCCCTTGGGCCGCCCATGTCTCGGGGAGTATTTGCCCCAGTTTGGGAATCGGGAACCCTTGTTGGGCCACCCACCGTTCACTCGGTTGCTTTCCGCTCCCCTGCTAAAAGTTTAACTCTTGGCGGTTTAATACGGAAAACCCATTCGTTGGCAAAAACTTAAAGTCCCAACATCCCTTGGCAACATGCGCCAAAGTTCATATGCGGCGTAGGGGCGCAACTTCGCAATGGGAAGTTGCCTCGGCCTCCCTCCGCCTCCGAAGTTGCTGGCCCCCGGCCTTTGAGCCGCCGCGTCATGAGCTGCGCCCGGCGCGCGAGCTCCTGCCTCAGAAACAAATCCCAGGGAGTCACACCTATGAGAGCTTAGGCTTCCCCCCAAATTCAAGTCGGGGTGGTGTTGCTCAGAGAGAACAAAAATTAAAGGACCGGATAACCCCACATGCTATGTTTTTCCCAAATGTCCACACACATGTACCGTGCGCCCCTTGTATGGATGCGATTACAGAGCACCCAGATGCACAGAATGCAGCGCCTGCCACGACTTCGGCAACGGCATCGCCAAAGTGCTGCGCCTGCCACGATTTCGCAACGGCATCGCCAAAGTGCTGCGCCTGCCACGATTTCGCACACCCCCCGCCGCGCGCGCGACAACATCCTGTCCCTCTAGACAGCTGCCGAATGCGACCCCTGCCACACAAACACACACCCAGATGCACAGAATGCTGCGCCTGCCACGACTTCGGCAACGGCATCGCCAAAGTGCTGCGCCTGCCACGATTTCGCAACGGCATCGCCAAAGTGCTGCGCCTGCCACGATTTCGCACACCCCCCGCCGCGCGCGCGACAACATCCTGTCCCTCTAGACAGCTGCCGAATGCGACCCCTGCCACACAAACACACACCCAGATGCACAGAATGCTGCGCCTGCCACGACTTCGGCAACGGCATCGCCAAAGTGCTGCGCCTGCCACGATTTCGCAACGGCATCGCCAAAGTGCTGCGCCTGCCACGATTTCGCACGCCCCCCGCCGCGCGCGCGACAACATCCTGTCCCTCTAGACAGCTGCCGAATGCGACCCCTGCCACACAAACACACACCCAGATGCACAGAATGCTGCGGCTGCCACGACTTCGGCAACGGCATCGCCAAAGTGCTGCGCCTGCCACGATTTCGCAACGGCATCGCCAAAGTGCTGCGCCTGCCACGATTTCGCACGCCCCCCGCCGCGCGCGCGACAACATCCTGTCCCTCTAGACAGCTGCCGAATGCGACCCCTGCCACACAAACACACACCCAGATGCACAGAATGCTGCGCCTGCCACGACTTCGGCAACGGCATCGCCAAAGTGCTGCGCCTGCCACGATTTCGCAACGGCATCGCCAAAGTGCTGCGCCTGCCACGATTTCGCACGCCCCCCGCCGCGCGCGCGACAACATCCTGTCCCTCTAGACAGCTGCCGAATGCGACCCCTGCCACACAAACACACACCCAGATGCACAGAATGCTGCGCCTGCCACGACTTCGGCAACGGCATCGCCAAAGTGCTGCGCCTGCCACGATTTCGCAACGGCATCGCCAAAGTGCTGCGCCTGCCACGATTTCGCACGCCCCCCGCCGCGCGCGCGACAACATCCTGTCCCTCTAGACAGCTGCCGAATGCGACCCCTGCCACACAAACACACACCCAGATGCACAGAATGCTGCGCCTGCCACGACTTCGGCAACGGCATCGCCAAAGTGCTGCGCCTGCCACGATTTCGCAACGGCATCGCCAAAGTGCTGCGCCTGCCACGATTTCGCACGCCCCCCGCCGCGCGCGCGACAACATCCTGTCCCTCTAGACAGCTGCCGAATGCGACCCCTGCCACACAAACACACACCCAGATGCACAGAATGCTGCGCCTGCCACGACTTCGGCAACGGCATCGCCAAAGTGCTGCGCCTGCCACGATTTCGCAACGGCATCGCCAAAGTGCTGCGCCTGCCACGATTTCGCACGCCCCCCGCCGCGCGCGCGACAACATCCTGTCCCTCTAGACAGCTGCCGAATGCGACCCCTGCCACACAAACACACACCCAGATGCACAGAATGCTGCGCCTGCCACGACTTCGGCAACGGCATCGCCAAAGTGCTGCGCCTGCCACGATTTCGCAACGGCATCGCCAAAGTGCTGCGCCTGCCACGATTTCGCACGCCCCCCGCCGCGCGCGCGACAACATCC